TATAGCATGTCTTGTTAAAGAATGCAGAAGTAACATGTTCTTCTGCAAATGTAAGTCTTGCTTAAGTAATTTTTTAAAAAATCTTTGAATATGGCAGCATGCAGTGAATAAAAATACTGTCCTGTATCATTATTATTTGGATTTTTCAAAAGGTCTTTAGTTATTGCTTTAAGAACTGGTGAAAAATGTTGGTAGCCAAGGGCAACAGGAGAAGGTATTCTTAACTGATTTCTAATTGTTTAAGAAAGTAAAGGTGGAATAACTATACAGTTTTATAGAAGTTTATAAACAGCAACATGTTACTGGGATTGCTGTTTGTAACTTAACTGATAAATAACTTTGTGTTAAGTTGAGCAATAATGGGTTCAAATCTGCTGATGTCATCAAATATATAGAGAGAAGGAAAGAAACAAAGCAAAGATTTTGAAAGTTTTCCAAATTTTCCAAGGACATATATATATAAAGTGATGTTTATTAATGTGAAAAGCAAATCTTAATGGTAAGTGCTGCTGATGGCTGATATGAAGTGTTTTGTAGCATATCTCTATGAAACAGCCCCTTGGTGGTTAGTGACTGAAAACATTTTAGTTCTATATGGGGAGTCATTAAAAATAAAAAGTCATTTATTGCAAATGAAACTGTTATCTACATTAAAATGCATATAACACCCACCTTTGCAATGCAGTATGTTCCTATCATACCTCAAAGGATAGTGTAGAGATGGAAAATATATTGAAATGGAGAATCAGATTTATTAAGGTGTGTAAGTCACTTTTGCATGCTAAAAAGGATTACAGCAGGCATGTCAAACTGCCGGCCCATGGGCCGGATGCGTCACGCCAAAACCACACCCGCCCCAGTGCCGGCAATGGGGGAAAAAGTTCCGATATGTCGCGCAACGTCATGTGACGTGAGTTTGACATGCCTGGATTACAGTGTTTGAGATTCTAAGTTAGAGGACAAAATGGCAGGAAGTGAAATGACACATGAATGAAATGTGAATAAAATTATTATCACAGGATGAATGCCATCTTTCTAAAAATATTAAAATATGGAGATATCCAATACAGTGTAATGCTAAAGATTGCTGTTTCACAGCATATTCGTGGCCTATTAATTTCCTACAACTGGGCATTGTATCTATGATAGAATGTTGTGCTGAAATGTTTGGTCTAATGATGCACACCTATATATGAAATTAGCCATTGTTTTCCATTTCTGATTTATGGTGATTATGATAGTGATAGAACTCGGCATTCTTGTAGTCCTACATATATATTCTAGGTAACTATTATAAGTTTGCCATTATTGATAGCCATTATAAGGCTGACACGTTTGATCCAACTTGCTTAGTATTATAAATATTAGACAACAGCAGATTTCCTGGATTTATAATTTGTTTTTTAACCTCTTCTGCACATATTAAGGATTACATTTTTCTGCTGAAAGTATGTGCTTTACCCCTGAGCTTCAACAATGCAGATTAATGAAATTTATTATAAGTTGAAGACTTACCAATCATAAATTAACTTTGACTCTAGTTGGTCTTTTAATGCTGACTCAAAGATTAATGATCCTTTAAGTTTGAATTTAATTGTCAACGCTGCTAATATTGAATATTCTTGCTTTGACAATATATGCAGAACTGTCTGGTATTTTTAGAGTTAAATCAGGTGACAGTGAAAGGGGAGGAGAATATAAGGAAAGCCTGGGAAAAAGAAACGGAAGTGAATCTTTGCCCTCCAAGTTAATTGGAAGATGTGAACCATGACCCCAAAATAGGGGAGGGGAAATGCCTGGAATGTTATGTGCAAAGGAAGAGAAATTCAGATCTTAGCATTTCCACCATGCCATGCTGACATCTCTGTAACACTAATAAAGGCTTTTTAGGTTAAAAAAATGCCAGAAAGTTCTTTGAAGTGTTTCGTTAATCAGACACATGACATCAATTTTGTTTAGGTGCCTCAAGCAAATACACAAATACATGAAATGGTCAGAAACTGCATAAGATCTAGGTTATTATCTAGTTTATTTATTTATTAGATTGATATCCAGGGGTTCAAGTTGTCCTACATAGAGCTTCTTTAGTTTGGGCAAGAGTGAGTCCTTGTTCCTAATCCAAAACCTGAGCTTGTATGCTAGTTGCAAAATATTTAATTTTGTTTTAATTATGAGGGTGATATACTGTTGGTTATTGTATTAATTTCCTATCCAGCTAAATTTGTATTTGGATAAAATCCATCCTTCTCTCTTCAGTACTGAAGCTTTACAGTGTAAATAGGATGAGAAAGATGATACTATTGGTATTTTCAAATATTAAGACATGGCATCCAAAGGGCAGTGCCAGCTTTTTTTCTCTCTCTCTCGGAAATCCTACCAAATCTCCACTTCTACCATTTTGATAAGACTAGATTTTTTAAGAGTTCTTGACCTTGCTTGCCTAACATGTTATTGTATTTCTACTAAAGGTCTAATGTATCTTTGTTTCCTAAATGTTTATCAGATTTCAAAGAGAGAGTTAACAGTTTGTGATCGAAGTTTCCGGGATGTAAGAAGGAACTGTCACGCTGATTTCAAGAAGAAATCTTTATTTGGTGTTGTCATTTTTATCCTTTCATCTAGTTCATGTATAGATGTTTGGTATATACTCCCATGCTCTCTCAACTATATATTCCAGTTCAGTAATTACAGACAAATTCAAACTCTTTAGTTCTTAGTTTGTTGCATGTTTGTGTGTGTGTGTGTTTGTGTAATGATTACTTGTGAAAGAGAATGTATTTTTTTGAAAGCAGCAGATGAATTTTCTTTAGTCTTAAATTATAACTAGTGTTGCTTCTATGCATATTGACAGAATTTAAGATTAGGCCTATTGAAGTTTTTGCATTACAGTATATCTCTTCTGTTGTTCTATAAAGCTTTCCCTGCAGTTTTTCAAGGATTAGGCTTTCTTTAAAAAAGGGAGCATGCTAAAGAAGTATGTTGTTTTTCTAGTAGAAGTATAGGAAAGAATTATAGGGCAACAAAGTAACAGAAAATGTTGCAAATTGGCCTAATGCAGAATCTTACCAAATGATTTTTTTTTCAATTAAAAACAACTTTCTTCTCTTTTTTTTTTCTCCTTCCATATTGAATCGTGTGAACTATTTTTAACCCTCTGCCCTCCTCCTTCCAGGTTAATTTTACAAGTGGATTTTAGCTGGGTAACATCTATGTAACCCTGATTTGAAGTGATGTTTCAGGCACCATGCTAGAAACTAAGAGACTGTGAGTTCTAACCCCGTGTTGGGCACAAAGCCAGCTGGGTGGCCTTTTACCAGTTCACACACTTCCAGCCCTGGGAAAAGAGGCCATGGCAAATCACTTCCAAAAAACTTTGCCAAGAAAAATGCAGAGACTTGTCCAGGCAATCACCAGGAATCAAAAACTGACTTGAAAAGCCCCCAGAACAAAGCAAAATAAAACTCTGGTTGACGTTCCTAATGAGATAAAATACTCTGCAATTGATTACCCATTTATGTCTTTGAACTGTTTTGCTGTGCTAAATCTAAACTTTTCTTGTTGTAACACTGAGACCCATGTTGGCAAAGAAAATTGGCAATAACTTTTACTTCGGAGGAGGAATGAGAGGACTGGATGATACAGAGAAGTTAGATATATTGACCAGATAATATGGTCAACAATAGAACATAAAATGTATCCTGTACCGCTGCTTTATTAGAGTTTGTCAGGGTATTATACAATCAACTAATAAATTCAGTTTTGGTTGGAATGTATTCCATTTCATGCTGGATTTTTATCAGTTTATCTAATTCATACTCTACATGTAGCTTCTGTCCTTAGAGGTTCGCTGTTTTACAGTAGTGTGTATGCATTTCTGCATTTAGAAGAAAAAAACCCCTCTGTTGCTAATATCTAACTGCTTGAATGAATCAGTGTATAGTACTGATGCAAGTAATGCTTTAATTTTAAAATAAATTTGTAATAAAGTACACATTCAAGCTTTGGATTTGGCAGATTTTGTATTGGCCAAAGAAAATGGGTGGTATTTTGGGGGGGGGGTGGATCCATAAGAAGGCCTGTCTTAATCAGCCATTTTATTTCTTACTGTAAATAACTTCTTTTCATATGTAAATAACCATATACATTTATAAAACCAGCAAATGAGCCATGTGTATTTAAGGTGTGGCCCATTGATTGGTTTTCAGGACAATGGTGCCTCAGAAACTTCAAGGAATTAATATAGATATCAGTGTTAGTTACCCACCTTACAAAGATATGTTAAAATCATGACATGTTATAAATGGCATACTAGCTCTGCAAGATTCAGATTTCTGGTTTTACAATTTGTGTGGGACAGCATATGATTGAAGACATTTCTATATGTTTATCAGCTCAACTCTTTCAGTAAAACTGCTTGAGTCTTTAAACTTTTTCTGTAAATAAATACTGAATTAAACTTGCAGTTGCAATATCCGTTGAATTCACACTAGCAATGATATTTATGGCATAACTGTGCAAACAGGTTAGTCTACAGAGCTGGACAGCAACTGATGTAATTTCACAAACTTCATAAAAGGTTCCTATGAAAGCAATCTAGGAACACAAAAAAAATTAAATTGGCTGTATATTTTTGCCCTCATTTCTACCTCACCCAACCCATTTGTTTTTCAGCACCAGATCTTTGTTTTGCTGAGATAGAGTAAGCCATATGTCGCTATATATGCATTTAAGATAGGTTTAAAGATGGATGCAAAGTAATTAGTTTGTTCTGCTCTTTTAAACCCGGCTTCTAAAAATATCTTAATTCCTGAAAGAACAAAAAAAAAAAAAGACATTGAATGAATTTGAAAAGATTAGATTGGAATTGCCTGAAATTCTATTAAGCCACACTGCATGGACGTGCTGGGAATATCAATACAATTAATGTAAATTTGTACAAACTGATTTGTTGCATTATCTTGCTAATCTAACATATGGTACTTTTTGTGTCCATATTGCAGACGGCAACTCCAAACTAACATGGCAGTCAGACTGTGTGATGTGGCTTCTCTGCTTAGAAGTGGTTCGTGGGCAGCAGAGCCTTGGACTGGGGTCTGTGGGATTTTTCTTAAATTCTGTAGGCTATTATTAACATGTTACACTAGTGCTGAGGCCATACCAAACACTTTAAATTACATTTGAATTAATTTTGTACACTCTCTTCTAAGTTCTGACATAGATATTAGACTATATCCTGGCTTGGGGCAAGGTTCATGGCATACTTGAAACTTGTAAATATAGATACAACTTTCTCTAATACTATCTTTCTTCACAACAACTTGAGTTTTGCTCCAGTACAATTTTCTAATAAAAAGAGCAGAGTTTGCATAAAAGCTGCTTTGGTATGGTCTGAATGCTGAATAATCGTAACTGTGGAAATGACTTACATTGTGTATTTTTTTGGTTACTAAAGAAATTATAGAATTCCATTTAAGTCATAAATTTTCTTGGCTGGAAATAAAAGCAAAAATTCAAAGCTGCTGAAAAACCTGTTTTCCAACAGGTGAAGGCTTTATTTATGGATAGGATATATTTCTTTAAAACATAAAATATTGGTATGGTTTTATTTTGAGTAGCAGATGGTTCTATAACTGAGACACCGTAATTTCAGATTATATAGGCTATTGCAGCTGTTCATTTGAATGTTGCTTTAGGATTTCATTCTTGCCATCTAAGCACAAAAATAAATATGAAGATATGTGAAGATGGTTAGTTATCCTTTAAGAAAAGATCAGTTTAATAATGCTTAAAATAACTTTCTAGAAAGCTTCAGTCTGCAATATTGTGGCCCATATGTTCTGTGTGATACAGTAGGAACATTTGAATAACAAACTGCTTAAAATATCCTTGGATAGTTTGTACACGAACAATTCAGTTCTGTTTTGAAATCAGAGGAAGAGGTTCATAAGTGAGCATATGTTAGAGGAATTGAAAGGAGTGTTCATTAGAAGACATTTGGACCTCTTAAAACAAATACTGAAGACATGCCTCATTATCTCAGAATTGGTCATTCTCTAGCATGAAGAATGGAGAATCCACGAATGGGTTAAATGTATTCTCCTGCCCAATTAGACCAAATCAGCCAAGTTGCCACACCCAGCAGGGCTGGGTCGCGCCCCAGTTTTGATTTGTCTCAGCCCAAGAAGGACGTATTAACTTGGCTCCCAGCAAAATTAAAAGCAGGCAGGTTGTAGATATTTATTCCATACAGGATATCTGCAGGGCGGCAACGTGGTCCTCGCCTTCTCCTTTTGTGCGGCATTACAAGCTCGATAAGTTTGCTTCTGCAGTGGCCTCTTTTGGCCAAAGGGTGTTACAGCAGGTAGTGCCGATGGCAACGACACAGTCTGCTTCCCACCCATAAGGGACTAGAGGACTTTGGTAAGTCCCATTCGTGGATTCTCCATTCTTCATACTGGAAAAGGGGCGTTGTCTTACCTGAACGCCTTTTGTCAGCATGATGAAAGGAGAATCCACCCCCATCCCTTGTCCGCAGTCAGGTCCAGTGTCAGGGATCTGGGAGCCAACACGTCGTACAGTCATTTGCTTTGCCCTTTTCGAAACTGGGTGTGACCCAGCCCTGTTGGGCGTGGCAACTTGGCTGATTTGGTCTAATTGGGCAGGAGAGCACATTTAACCCATTCGTGGATTTTCCATTCATCATGCTGAGAAAAGGCGTTCAGGTAAGACAACGCCCCTTCTCGGGTTGATAGCTCATAATCTCCTACCTTCCCTTTTTTCAAGGGCTATATTTATAATTTACAAGTATCATCATTCCATTTTTACTGAGATAATAATTCGGACTTTATTAAATAAACTTTCTGAGATTGAAAATAATGGGTTATCAAAAGGCCAGCAGAAAAGCTGAGGTTGAATTCCTTCTTGAAGCAGTATTACGGGCACACTAAACTAGTTCTTGAGTTCTAAATTGAGTTCTGTCTTTTCAGATTTGATTAAAATTTAAATTCCATTCTTATCTGGAAATAATAGCTAACAGGTATTCTACAGTAGCATTCCTAAAATAAAAAAGTTTTTCTATATTTAGAAAAGCTCTTGCTTCAAATGACAAAATCTTTTACTCCTCTGTCAATAACTTCAGTTTTCGATTAGCTTAGTTTAACTGAAGACATAGTTATACAGGTTTGGATTAATTGTTTGGGGGGCACTGTGAGAAGTAATAGAGGTCAAAAGTAGTTGATAATAATTGGTGATGAAGCAAGGAAGTGTTCATGTGGTTATTCCAGCATTTGGTACTTCTTAATCCTTGTCAATCACAAAGTTTGGAAGGGAAAACTTTTATTTTGCCAGCAATATAACTAATGTGGCCAATCCACTTTAATATTTGAAAAGTAACCAAAACAGTACATTTGTTTTTAATAATGTCTTTTATGAAGTCTACTGTTGATTGTCATTGTCAGTAAATCATTTGCAATAATTATTGAAAGCTTTATGAGAAATTCATTTGAACAACTTTGAAACTTTATCAGAATTTAATACTTAACCAGTTATTTCTTGGGATTTACTGAATTAGCTTTAGCTCAGAAAAATGTTTCAATAAACCTTTGTAGCTTTAATTTTTCTAAATCGTCTTTATTGCTAGAGAATTACAACAGCTTTGTTTTTATTATAGAACGATAATTGCAGTCTTGACAATTGGGCACTCTTGCATAATGTCAAAGCTTTAAATTCATAGCTAGAATCACTAATAGATGATGAAATATGAATTCTGACAGTTCCTATTTTCTCTGTTTTTAGCAGGTAATTGCTGCCATGGAAACACAACTGTCTAATGGGCCAACTTGCAATAACACAGCCAATGGCCCTACTACCATAAACAACAACTGCTCATCACCAGTTGATTCTGGGAACACGGAGGACAGCAAAACCAATTTAATAGTCAACTATCTCCCTCAGAATATGACACAAGAAGAGCTCAAAAGTCTGTTTGGGAGCATTGGTGAAATAGAATCCTGCAAACTTGTAAGGGACAAAATCACAGGTATGTAAACAACAGGCTTTTGCAATTGTACGTAATATGTGTCCTCTGTTGAACATTTCTAATAGCATTACTTGTGAATGGCAAAACAGTGTCACATTCCCTTGGAAGATGGATTAATATCTCTTGTGAGCTACAACATGAGAAATGAGCTTAAAAACATGTTCAAAAAATAGTTGTATGGGCTGACAGGGTCTTTTGCATAAAATTACTTAGTTGCGAAGACAACACATTATTTGTTTGCTTCTTAAAGGAATAGGAAATAAAGAAGTACAAAATTGCCTTACATGTTGATGATTTGCTATATAGTTGAGGTGAATCGGTTAACAAGATGTTTCATTTATTAAATTTACATACCACCCATCTTTCTATCCAAAGTGACTCTGTGTAGCTTTAAATGTTAAGGTTGATCATTTTCCATCTTTGTCAGCGTTGTCAAATTAAATTTGCTACAAAAAAAGATCAATTGAACTTGTAATATAGAGAAATTTAGACCTAGACAAAATTTAGACATCCTCTTCCCCTGACCTCCCACCCCCCCCAAATGATGGATAAATCCATTTTCTTTGAAGTTGATGAGATAGTTAAATTTATGTTAACCCATTCCATTTGTGTAATGAAATCATTATGCAGATTGATACACATTACATAATTTGTGTAATGATATCATTACAGAAATGTTGTTGCATTTGGGAGTAACAGATGCTCCCAGCTCCTTAGCTATTGGAACACTGTTATCATGTCACCCCATAGCCCTTCTTTTCATTAAACTAGATATAACCAATTGCTGCATTTCATATGTTTTCGCCTCCAATCCCCTAATCATCTTTGTTGCTCTTCTCTGTACTCTTTCTAGAGTCTCAACATCTTTTTTTATATTGTGGCAACCAAAATTGGATGCACTATTCCAAATGTGGTCTTACCAAGGCCTTATAAAGTGGTACTAACACTTCATGTGATCTTGATTATATCCCATTGTTAATGCAGTTTAGGATTGTGTTGGCAGCTGCAGCAGACTGCTACCTCATATTTAAGTGATTGTCCACTAGGACTCAAAGCTCCTTCTGACAGTTACTACTATGAAGTCAGATATCACCTATTCTATACCTTTACATCATCATCATCATCATTGTTATTATCCTAAATGTAGAACCTTACTTTTTCCCCCATTGAATTTTATTTTGTTAGATAGGGCCCAGTGTTCACATTGTCAAGATTCTTCTGTACCTTGAGCCTATCTGAGACACGTCCCATGCCTTCGACATTGTGCCATTAGTTTCTGATAATAGTATCTATAACATGACTGTTTCCTTTTGCTGTAATAGCTAAGCTGGAAAAATGGGAGGAAAAGCAATCTAGTTAAAAGCTGCAAATCAATACTGTAATACTCACTAATATACTGTAAGGGACATCACTGAAAGTAACCACGTTTTGTTTGCACATTTTGATTTGAGCTCTGAATGGTCAATACTTCATCATTGGAAAGATTGAAATATTTTGTGTACCCCTCCTGCAATATCTGTGTTGCCTGCCTTCCTTCCTTCCTTCCTTCCTTCCTTCCTTCCTTCCTTCCTTCCTTCCTTCCTTCCTTCCTTCCTTCCTCTTTTAACTTTATTCTGGACATAGGCATAGGTTTTTCATGTGATTTCACATTGTGAAATCCATGGATTATTAAACTTCCAGATCCTACATCTTTTTCTGTCAAATTCCCTATGTGGTTTTCAGTTGGCCGTAGTTTACCATTGTTGTACTGTTCATCTGGGTCATTTTCTCAAATTTTGAATGTTGTGTTTTAGAGTAACAAGGGAGTAGATGTCTCTCTTGACTTAGTTTCAAAATACTGAATTTGCAGAATTCTTCAGTACAGGAGATGGAGAATCCACCAATGGGTTTTCTCTGTCTGCCTGCTCTTGAGACCAAGTAGCCAAACTTGACATGCCCCCTTTTGCTAGGAGACCCAGTCTTGACTTGGTCTCAAGCTCTCAGCAGATAGCAGGTTAGAGATTCATTGGTGAATTCTCCTTTCCCTAATAGTTTCCCTCAACAATTTAATTAAATAATACAGATTGGGAATCCTTCCCTACTATCCACCTGCAGCACTGGGATCAGCGCTGGCTCAAATCGGACGATTTGAGGGGTGGGGGGAGGCCACTTCAGCTTTCTCTTCTTTCCCGTTCCCCAGGGCTTTCCCTTTCCCTAGGGCTTTTCTGCATAAGTGCTGCTTCGAACATATTCTTCATTGTCACCTTGTTTGAGCTACCGGGCAGAATTTCACGCTGCAGGTCTGTGACTCAGCATTTGAGTTTGAGGCCCCTGGAGTCATCTCCGGCAGCCTGGGACAACCGTGGGCACCATTTTAGTTGCCACCGAAGGCAACGAACTTAAATTCAGTCTTCAGAGCCTTGTTTTTTCCTGCCAATCGGAGACTGTTTTGCTGGTTACCTTTCCGGCGCAGTGTGTAGCGCTGCTAACACGATCAGCCCAGCACCGAGAAATTTTGCCTTTGAGGCCTGCAGAGGCTGTTCTCAGTGGAGAACAAGTTGCGGCCGTCATTTTGGGTTGCTGCCAAAGGCAAGAGGATTCAAACGGCGTTTTCATTGCCCTAGTAATTCTGTTCTTCATTGGTGGCTCAGTTACTCAAACCTTTCAGGCCTTAGACTCCTGCTCAGCAGGCCGGATTAGAAATGAATCAAATGGCGGCCCCTGAATTTGACCTTCCTTTAGGTCCTTCAACCTTGGCTCAGGGCTTGTGGTCCCTGACAGAGACTCCCGCCACACTTCGTTCCCCTTCTGTGCTAGTTCAGCACACAGCAACTACCTCGGGTTCAGCTCCAGAGGCCACCTTCACACCAACGGCCGCAGGGCTCAGGGGACCAGACATCAGAGATATTTTCTCCGACGGCCGCCTGGAGGTCGTGGACCATGCTCTAGCAGAGCAGTCCTTCCATCCACCTGGGCAGCATGTTTCCACATCAGCTATGCCACCTTATGTCCCTCCCACGGGGATCCCATTATTACAGGAACCCATATCTCCTGCACTCTCCTCAATTAGCGGATACTCATCTCTGCAAGGTGAGGATCAGCTGAATTTCAATCTATCGGAGGAAGAGGAACTTCCCTCTGAACCCTCCCCATTGGGAGGTCTGTTCAATCCAACTCTGTTTCTCCCCTTGCTTCGCAAGACCACCTCAACGGCAAACATAAGGTCCGATCGGTTCCCTCAGCCGCAGGCCACATCAGATTCCAGTCCAAATCCGATATTTTTTGAAACGGTGGCAGTCCAGCACCACGTTCCCTGTCCTTCTATATTTCTTAAAGGGATCAAAAAGCAATGGGTCTCCCCTTCCTCCTTTCCTTCTGTAAGCGGGACAGATAAAAAGATTTTTAGCACCTCCACAGACCTCACTGAGGCCCTGGAGGTCCCCAAGGTTGACGAGGCCTGGACCCCTCTGGTGTTCCAGACTGCGGTCGCTGGGAACATGTCTGAGGCACTTAAAGCGGACGACAGGAAATGGGACCAAACTTTCCGAAAGACCCATCAATCAGCAGCATGGGCAATTAAAAGGGCCACTTGTGCGTCCTTCTTTGTCTGAACCACCCTCTTAAGGCTTCGTCAGCTTCAGGCCAGAGTCCCTTCTGAGGACATTCAGACTCACCAGGACCTAAGCAAAATGGTGGTGGCAACTGAGTATGTCGCGGACACGACGCTTCAGTCGGCCAACTTTGCTTCCAGGTCTCTGGCTTCCAACATTACAGCCAGAAGGATGCTATGGCTGAAACACTGGCAGGACGATGCCAAGGCCAAATGGCGTCTCGCAACTGCCTCCTATCTGGGCAATAATCTCTTGGGGAGGCCCTGGCTCCGTACCTTGTAGAAAACAAGGACAAGCGAAAGGTCATGGCTCATCTGAATAAACGGTCCTACAAACGTCCCGCTCCCTGTTTCTGCAGGCGGTCCTTTTGGCCAGCAGCTGGTTCGGCAGCCACCCAGCCCTCCCGTTCATACACACCCAGGCAGGACAGGCCATATGACTGTCCGTATGACAGACCAGGTTTTCGGCCCAGGCAGCAGAACCAATCCAAGAGGCCATTTTGAGGGGCAGGACACCCCTACAGGAGGTCCAAGTGACTCTTACACCGCACTTTCCATAGGGGGAAGGCTTGCCTACTTCTTCCATCAGTGGGAATTCACATCCATGGATGCCTGGGTCTTACAAACAATCCAGTTTGGCCTGTCCCTGGAGTTTCTGGCCAGTCCCCGGGGTCACTTCATCACCTGCCCTACTTCTCAGGATCCATTCAAACAGGGACTTATGCAGGAAGCCATTCAACATCTTCTAGAGATTCAGGCCATAGAACCGGTACCACCGGACCACATGGGAAGGTGATTCTACTCCATCCTCTTTGTGGTCCCCAAGACCTCGGGGGGATGGAGGGCAATTCTAGACCTCAAGAGTCTGAACTATTACATCACATACAAAAAGTTCAAATGGCAATCACTCCACTTCATCCTGAGAGGCACCAGACAAAGAGACTTCAATAGACCTCACAGAAGCGTATCTCCACATCCCCATCCATCCAGATCACCGGCGGTTCCTCGGGTTCTGTTACAGGAGCCATCACTTCCAGTACAAGGCCCTCCCGTTTGGCCTCTCCTCGGTACCCAGGGTGTTCACCAAGATCCTGGTTGTGCTAACTGCCCATTTACGGAAGGTACCAGTACGCGTCCAGTGTTACATGGACAACATCTTGATCCAAGTGTCCTCCTTCCGGACAGCCCAGTCGGACCTGGAACTAACTATTCAGTTCCTTCAACAGCACAGGTTCTCAGTGAACTTCCCCCCCAAAAAAACCAGACGGTTCCCTCATCCAGGCTTCTGCACCTGGGAGCCATCATAGACACCACAAACTGCATGGTCTTTCTCTCCCAGGAGCGGTTGGTCAGCATCAGGGACCTGGCTCGCCGAGTGTACAAGGACTGCACCGTTCCACTGGTCTTACTC